TTCAGTATCACAACAATCATACAAAATATGTTATCCTAGTTATTGCAAAAGGGGAATATAAACCTATGTAACAATTATCTTAAGAGAAATATATAATAAAAAGAATACTTGTTGTCGCCCGCGACTCCGTCTGCGCGGAATTAAAAAAAAACATAACAAGTAGCCTATGAGTTTTTCCAGACTATGTATTACATCTATGCCAAATTTCAGAGATCCATATAGATGTTCCGGAGATACCTTCAAACAAACATCCATCCAAACATTAGAATTTATATATTAATAGTTGTCGCCCGCGAATCCGTCCGCGCGGAATTAAATAAAACTAAATGTATAGCTATGTTCTACATCTGTGTCAAATTTCATCAACATCTGTTGAGGTGTTCCGGAGATACCTTCAAACAAACATCCATCCTTCCATCTAAACATTTAAATATTCACATTTATAATATAAGTAAGATTATAATAAAATAAAATATATAGTAGTAGTATACCAATTAAAGCACTAAAGTATAAATAGTACTAGGAATAGACTAGTGCTGTAAGACTGCAACTATCAAGCGTTTAGCTTTTCTATAAAATATTATAATAATATTGTAACTTTACCTTAAATTGAAAAATATACATCCCCGCAATAAGTGTGTAATAATCGGACGATAAAAACGAGAGATGCAGTATTATGGCTCCTGCATCTCTAAGCATAAAACTCTGCAGTATTTGAAATATAGTCTGCAATCCACAGAAACTGCCAAGTTGTACAATAGTTTCCAATTCATACCAATTGAACATAAGTAGTTCGTTAAATTCCAGAAGAAACGTTTGCGTACAAGAAACAACTCCTCCGATAAATCCAAGTAAAGCCAGATATTCGGAGCAAGATTGCTTAGTCAGCATCATCTCTTGAAGAATGGTCACCAAGGCATAGACCAATGAACCGGCCAGACAAAGCATGTCGCCTACAAGCTGATTTTTACCTGTAATAAAAATTATCTCCATTAAATGTATCCAGACACCTCAGTTTCAACAAATCACTTCCTTTAGTACATGTTTCAATAATTTATATTATCAGATTACTGTTCAATATTTCTGTTAAAACACTCTCATAATATCTTTACTGCACTGATTGATTTAAACAAGTAGACACCAGAATTCATCAAAATGACGAAGTGACCACTGCTCATTTATATTTGCAGACACATTTGTGCACAAGACATCTTGGCAGGCTGTACTAATATTATGTAGGAATTCATTTTATTTTGAAATTAATTAAATTTATAATTTGTCCATAAGTTATACATACCATCAGTAGGTGCACCTTCCACATCTGCCCAGACCACACAAACAACAGCCATAAGTCCTAGGGTAGCTCCCGCCACATGAACAACTCCCAGCCTCTGTCCTCTCCATGCCCCACCCACTAAGGCTGCGCCCACACCGCTGCAGGCAAGCAGCTGTCAGCTAAGTACAGATGTGAATCTTTGGGACAACACCAACAACCAGCTTGCTTCCACATCCAATGTGCATGCTATGATTAAGACCCACCATCTTCTAAAATAAAAAGAACTGTTATAATAATAATAATAGCTTTTGAAATAAGAACTGTATTAAAGTTTTAGTTCTATCTAACTTTGTCTAATAAGTATGTGCAATAAAATGTGAAAAATGTAATATAGATAGAATATTAGGCAAATTAAAGCTATAGAATACATTTGTCTTTCATACATCCATGGAGTCCATAAGTCCAATTTGTATTATTTTGAAAGGTTTTCTGATTTGTTTCAAGTTAAATTACTTACTTGGTTAATTTTTTGAAGTCCGCACAAAGTAAAGATGGTGTAAATAAAATAAATAGCAATAAATACGGAATAATGAGCTGAGCCGTGGTGGGAAATTGCCATGTAGCACTCTGAAGCAATGTTGTTAATATACATTTGCCACTTAATAAGAAAGACAATATTTGTCCCAGCATGATACTTCGCCAAACTTTCCTGTAATAAACCATTGTTTAAAATTGTTTTTCATGTTATATATTCTAAAGTTAAGATATGAAACACAATAAAATCATATTTCACTAACCGTCGCCCTAGCTCCGAAAAGTAAGCTTCAATTTTATCACTGAAATTTCTGTTTTCCATGATTACGGACATTATCAATAGAAAATCTATATGGAGAACACTAGGGGATACAAAGATTGTCGGTTGAAATCAAGGAAAATTAGGAATATATCCATTATTTCTAATATGGACTTAAACTCGCTAAGAATCATAACATTGAATAAAATAAAATTGACATTTACGTTTAGAATTTAGGTACAGTGACTGTGCTGTGAAATTATTGTTATAAAAAAGTAAAGGTGAGAAAATCTCCAAAATGTTTAAAGGTAAAAAAAAATATTTCTAACTTAATAAAACAATGAAAGTAAAATTCTAAAACAAAAAAAAATGAACCTTTATTACAAATGTCAATGGCTGTATGATCTAAAACTTTTGCCTTGTTAAAAAAATTGTGAGCTTCAAAACTTCAAAACAAATAATTGAAAAGGCTACATAAAATAAAAACAAGTTGCTTATTGTTTATTTTTTTACTGTTCAAAGCCAATAAATAAACAATTTTCAAACATGGGTGATGGTAAGTAGGAAAGTTTACAGAAAGTAACTTTTTTGTGTACAACTTTTACAACGAATTGAATAAACATTATTTATATATTTATCTAAAAATCACAACTTTACAGAAGACGTTATACGAAGAAGACTACTTATTGATGGCGATGGTACAGGGGATGATCGTCGATTAAATGTATTATTGAAAACATTGATAAAATGGTGTAACAGTACTGATGAAAAACTTGAAGATAGGTTAGAAAACTCTTATTGCTATGGTTGAATGTTTCCGATCTATTTCAATAGTGATATTAATAATATATTTTTTTTTACAGTAAATCAACTCATGACAGAATGTTAGCGCAGCTTGCTCAGTGTGAATTTGCTGTAACAAAATCTCAGTTGGGTGCAGGCATGATGGCTGCGGAATTAAAAAGTTACGAATCACTATCAAAAATATTAGAAAATGGTATAGAAGTTGCTAAAAATAACATAGAGAAAAGCAAAGCTGATTTAGCTCAAGCAAAAACTGTGCGTAAAAATCGTATAGAATATGATGTACTAGCAAAAGTAATAAGTGAACAGCCTGATAGAAAAGAGACTTTAGAAAGACTTGCCACATTGAAAAAAGAATTAAGTAGCTTAGAAGCTTCAAAACAGCAATTGGAAAGCAGGTTAGCATTAAGAAAGAAGCAATTCCATGTGTTGGTTACTTCGATACATCAGCTCCAAGCCATTCTAGATGACTCCGATGAGACCGATTCCATTTCTGATGATGTGGACATGAAAGATGAAGAAGAAAAAACCCCACCAGAGTCACGACGAAGTGGTGTACAAACCCCAGAGACACGTCGTTCTACAGGGTCCATGACTACAAATAATTACCACTGATTAACTTAGAAGTAAGGTTCTAAAAGTAAATAGAAATCAGTTAATAAACCAGTTTTTATTTTACAAATAAAATTTGTCATTATTTTTTTATAATTTATCTGAAGAAATCAGTACTCCTTATACCTCTCCACCGGATTAATGCTTGTACAGAAATTGTTGGAAAAATGTTAGTTCTGGCCAACATGTTGAGTGCCACCGAGCAAAGTGGCAAGTTCATTTAAATACATTGCGGAAAAAATCTTGTGGCATAGAATGTGTTAAGGATAGTTTTATTGTAATAACAGCTGAAAAGATAAGTAAAAAGTCTAAAGATTACGCTCTGAAGACGTACAAATATAACTACCGTAAATAACAAATAATCGTCAGTTTTTCTACATAAAGGACTACACAAATAGGTATTCTGTTCAAAACGTTTATATGTATAACAATAAAAGCTATTATCAAGGTCGAAAGACTCAGTTTTCGTTCTCAAATATGTACAATTCCTTAAATATTAAAATGGTGAGCTAGACTGCGTAGTTAACGTGTAAATTGGACGCTTAGGGAGTTGGCTGACGAAAAACTATGTTTTATTTTTGATAGTATCGTTTTATTTTACCTCGAGTGTAAATAATGCTACAATTCCGTTGTTTACCTTAGCCCATGAGTACTGAATTATGTTTTAATAATGGCTTCACTGTCGTGTACACATATTTGCTTATTCTACAAACACGTATATACTTTTTAAAATGTAATTTCCATTTCATACTGCTGAAACATATAAAGTTTATTGTGAACTCAATCTTTGGAAATCATCGCTCATATTCGATTCGAAAAAGGAAGTTTCTACGCAGTATTTCAATGACATAAGGCGAGTGTGAGTTCATTTCATAATGAAAAATAAAACTTTCAAATCGTGATAAAGTATTAATAAATTTTGTAAAACAGAAAACCAAACAAATTAACGCAATATTTCTATATATTCCCAAAAGAAATCTATAAAGGTGAATTAATTGATAGAAAGTAATTTTTCATCCACGAAGTTCATTTTTTTAATGAAATTAATTTACCTAATACATTCGCTTCACTTAATTATGTAAAACTTCGTTGAGCGGTTTGATCGGTTCAGTATCATCACGTACACAAAGTTTACAAAATGTAGAAAAAACATCGATTTCTCAAATTAATTATATAGGATCATAAATTAATGTATACAATAAAACTAAAATTAATCAATGCATACTATATTTAAGTTTAAGTAATTAAGTTAGCAAAGAAGAATCTTGACACTCTTACAATAAATGTAAGCCTGTAAAGTAAATTAAACATGGTTAGTTTTTTTTGTAATAATGGGTAAAATGTGGATTATTTTTTAATAGCTGTTTACTAATTTATCACAGTGTTTTAAAAAAACTAATAGAAAAATTTTAGCAATTTACCACGCGACAGTACCGTGTCGAAAGTAAACTTTAACGCGCAAGTCCACAACAGTACAGCAACTGTACCCCCAACGACACATCGGGTTAGCGACTCCGACCGGTCGCACGTCACTGCCGAAAACTGAAAAACAGTAACTTCCATACGCGATTCTTGAATAAAAATGCCTTCACTTTGGGACTATTTACACTTTAATCGACAGTATTCAAATAAGAGAAACTTAGAGGAGGGTCTATTCCAGATTGCTTCGCAGACTTGTAATATTTTAGTAAAGGTTAACAACACGAATAACATAAATTTGACGAGAAATGATCGCAGCGACGAGTATGGATGCGCCGGGCCCCCCAAAGGGAAAAGTTCAATGCAGATATGTGTACCCAAGTTCAGGAAGAATTCTATCACTTCCGGTTGTAATCCAGGATTATCGGTGAGTAATGTTTATTATTTTAATATTAAAAATACTGATACCAACTTTTATTCGAAACTATTACATTGTAATGGAACAATGTATAATTAAAGTCAGTCTTCATTAAGTATCAGGGACATAAATTATAGGATAATCAAATTGTCAGCGTATTATTTTTTAATTTTGAGAAATAAAAAATAACAATAAAGAATTATAAAAGAAATTCCAACAAATACATAAGTAACGAAATAAATTGCAAATCAGTGTCCATCAATTTACCAACAATAGTTTACAGTAGGCCTACGGATTAATCGTAGCCACCTCGTAGACGTTTGCTACGAATTATTTACTACACCTATTCCAGACTCCGAAAAACGTATTATTAGTCAAGTGAGTGGATTGTTTGTTTGCTTTTTATTCGTTTTACTTTAAAGGAAGATGATTTCAAGACTATTAAACATATATATTAACCTGTGGAAGAGAGGATTTGTTTAAGAAAATATTATGCATTTATTTAGTCTAAATATTTCGTTTTTCATGACTACTTAAGCAAACTAGGAATTGCGGGAAATCTTTTATGATAGACATAAATCGTTCTACACGTAAACATTAGGTTATTGACCTAAGCAAAAGTAACAAAACAAAGGTTTCACGTGCAAAAGCGTGATCTTTGTCGATTTCAGTTTGAGAACAACTGTCGCTTGAAAAAGCCAAACGTGATGACTTCTAACGACAAAAGTTTTGCTTTTACTACCAGTTTGACACGCAATGACATATTTTTATACTCAACTAGTTAACGTTTTTATAAAGCGGTAATAATAATGTTATTTATTAAGCGTAAAATATACTCTTGGATGATTAATGTTCTTCGTTCTCCTATTCGGCAATAAGTTATAATAAATTCGGTAAAATATTAAATTCTGCCGCCATTGTAGAGGTCAAAATTTGCATTTATCTAGATGTTACAAAGAAAGACGAATACACAATTCATTTGTTTTAATTTTTAAGTGGTAGAGCCGGCAACATCTGGTGTACGAATGGGCCGACTTGACATACCACGTCCACAGAGAAGACAGTCGTGAAGTGTAAGAAATTCCATGTTTGGTCTGATGAGTCTGTGCGCAAGTGGCCTAAAATTAGTCCTCTTCCCCTTTCTGCCTTTTTACTAATAGAACATGATGGAAATGTGATCTTTCTTTGCGTCCCTTCTCCTCCGTCGATTAAAGGTAGGCAACGCATCTGCAAGTACGTGTCTCTATGAGCAGCGGTCACTTCGCTGTTTTAAAAGCGTAAAGCATATTGAAACGTTCCTATAAAAAGTTAAAATAAAACCGACACATAAAATATATAATAACGATAGTACGGAACAAAAATAAAGCTTCGTAGTAATTCACGAGGGTAACTTTGCGTGTGACAATGTTCAGAAGAGTAACTTTACTACATAACTACGAGTGGAAATGAAATGACGGATACGTTTGAAGTTATAAAGCTTTTTAAGCGTTAAGCGATCGTCCTTGCTGTCAGTGTTAAAGATGCATAGGCGCGGGCGGCATGTGCATTTCACCCTCCATCGATATATCAGCGCGAGTTAGTGTTCAAAACGCATGCTGCGGAACTCCTTGCAAGTTTCTGTTGTTGATAGATTACAAGCTGATTCAATTTGAGGTAAACGAACGTTGTAATTTATAATTTTTTATTACACTAGCGTGCGACAAAGCATTGCCCGTCATATTGATTTTACACGTACAAGAAAGACACTGCAAACGCCGTGGTTCGACCTTGTTCCGATTACTCACTATTAGTCGGCACTTTGGATGTTTTTTCGGCTATCATTTCAGCTTTTAGTAAACCGATACGTATTGCAATCATTCCATGAGCAAGATATCAGATTTTTGTGGCTACGACCATACATCATTTGAATTATCACACCTTTGATGACATTTACATACACTTTGTGAAATAAAGTAAAAGGGAAAAATGTAAAATAGGTTGTGAAGAGAGTAAAAAAACCATTTTTATAACCTTTGCGTTTCTACATATATTGTGCCGTGTAAGTCGCTCTTTGTACTTTATAATTAAAACCGGATGCTGCTTTAGCTATTCAGAATGGTCTTATAAAATACCTTTGAGAGACTCGTTAATAAAAGGATGGAGACGTTTGTCTCCGTCTTTTTAAATGTATCATACAAAATTACAAATATTTACAACTAGAATTAAATATAAGTTAGTTTTGTGTATAGTGTTTAGTTTACAGAAACTACTGGAAAAACTAAACTTAATAATTAAAAGTTAGGATGGTTAGTGTCTCTTCTCCTTGATCTTCTGTGTAAAGGCCGCCTGAAACGGTAAAAGCCTCCTCCAGATTCATCCATTTCTTCCTGTCCGATGTAAGTCAGGTCCAGCTAAACCAAGCGATTTTTCTATGTCGTCGCACCACTTTCTTATTTTGCTGCCAATGGGGAAATATTTTGTTTTTTTTTTGTCCACCTTCCGTCTTTAAGTCTTAATAAATGTTTTACCACAACTTTATTCTTCAGATTCATCCATCCATCCATCCAAACATTTGCATTTATAATAATACTAAGATTTAAATGGATAAACGAAATAAATTGTTCCATGTATCTCGTAGCAAGTTTTATCGTAGGCGTAACGTAGACCGTAGTAAGGCGGGTTATTTAGTGGAGTGGCCTAGTTTTAGGACTATCGTATATCTTTGCCGCTATAGCTTTCTTAAAGGTGACCCACTTAAGAAACTCAATACTTGAAAACATATATTTCTTAGAACTGCATTATATTAAATAACGAAGTTGATATTTTAATTGCGTGCGTTCACTGCATTAATATGTACTTTATTGATTTTGTTTTTTATTCGTTATTCTCACGAGCGGTTCCATTTCTTTGATTATGCTGAAATATAAATTAAATTACTAATACATTAACTTACTTAAGAGTGATTATTAAGTCGATTTGTTTCATTAATATTTCTTAACATAATTTACACAACAAAATATAGTAAAAAGCAACGTATCGGTGTAGTTTCGTGATCGACTAAATATCGTGGTTAATGATGTCATTAAGGTAATTATAATTCGTTCTTAAAGACGGTTAGTTCAAATTTTATTCAGATATTATATACATTATTAAAAAGCTTTGTAGCTCGTTCATTATTTGGATAAGGTGCCGCCTTACCTGGGTCAAGGTCAGGCGACCAAATATTGTAATGCATTAAATATATTAGTTTAAAGTAATGTTTTGTGAAAGTTTCCTGACAGTTACAGTGAGTTTCTATTGACGAAATACCTTCGTGAGAACATATTGGTATCTCTGTTAGATTCATCGAGTGTGAGAGGAATGAAGATATGTTTTTAACATACTAATGCACGGGTAATATTTTGTTTGCGTACGTAAGTAGGTTCATTGTAACATCCTGTAGTCTAAACCATTGATCCGATTTTGACGAGTGAGTTGTCATTGTATTCGTATTCTTCCCCTGATTGTAATTGTGTGTGAGTTTTAATTCACAAATAGAGTTACATATTTAATTATTGTACTTAAGTGTACGGTGTTAACGTTATTTACCTGTCGCATGAAACACGTTATATTTTCACTTCGCGTTTTAGTACGCAAGTTATGAATAACTGAAACCTTCTAACAACATAACACTCATGCTTTGTTTTTTATTTAATAAGTATGTTACATAGGAATCTAGGTGTAGGAATTTTCGTTTCAATGTCAAGTATCATAGGAATTTACACTGCCAATTGTTTATGTATTTATGTGTATTTACCTTATGTAAAAGAATATCAGGCGTTTATTTAGTTTTTTTTTGTTAATTTTCAATGGTTAATTGACGATCACATGGAATGTAGATAATATTTAACTTAATAACTCATTAATTTAAAAGACTGATGTTGTGTTCAAAAAAAAGCCTAGGTGTAGCAACACTTTTCAAAAGTCTATACGAATACAAAAATGGCATCATGACACTTTTTTGACGATGTTGGAGGGCGCTAGTGTGCTCACATAATTTAGTTGTGTTTTTTTTATTTCTCATCGGGACAGAAATTCATATCCGTGTATACATTGATTTTCACCGTATTAATTTTTGAAATTCTGTACTCATATAAGTAACGTGATCACGATTCACGGTGGTTATTTTAGTGTAGGTTATGTTATCATTAAGTGATGCTATTAATTACGATATTTCGATATTATTTTTCAAAGTGAAGCTTTGAAAATTATTAGGATCTTGTGTTATCTCATAATATTAAATTGCACTTTATTGCATTGTTTTTGTACTTATCTTTTAATAGCGAAAGGAAATTAAAGTGGTTGTAAACATATTCTAATAATGTTTTACAAGTACTTTATAACTTTTATAGTTCCTAACATCCTAGTTGTATCTGGTTTATGTTCCGAAGTTTATTGAATGCTGTTTATACATTGGACAATGTTTTGTCTTCATATTACACTGACATATTGTTAACTATCGGTGTTTACCTGTAGCTTGTATTGAATTTTGAATTTAACACGCGACTATCTTTCACTCTGTTGAATAGATTGAATCGTAGATCAATCATTAATGGTTACTAACGTGCTTTGAACTGTCTTATTGTTGAATTTCAATATCTATCAATGTAAAATTTTCTTTAATTAAAAAGTTGATGTAAATTTCGTATTTTTGATAAATAAGCAAGCAGTGTCATTGCTTTCATGGTAATTACTTTTATTATGCTGCGGAAATCTTTAAGCATTATGATTCAGAAACATATTTTACTATCTTACTAATATTATAAGTACAAATGTTTAGAGGGTTGGATGGATGGATGGATGAATGGATGGATGTTTGTTTGAAGGTATCTCCGGAACGGCTGAACGGATCTCGCTGAAATTCTGCATAGTCTGGAAGAACGCATATGCATATTAAGTTTTTTTTAATGCCGCAATTTAATGATGGTGGTGATTGGTGATGGTGGTGATTGGTGAGTTATTAAGTGTAATAAAAGTTAATTTAAATGAAT